GGAGGAGATCCTGAAGCCCAGGTGGTAGAGCAGGCAAACGACAACACCTGGACCTCCAAGTGCCTCAGTGAGGGCGGGTGAACCGGTGGAAACTAGCTCAGAAAACCACCAAAGGAATCTCCCAGTGCATTAGCAGAAACGAGGGAGGCAGCATTGCAAGGGGCCCCAGGCAGATAAATACCCTACAGCACCCACCTAAAAGGAGCTGAAGAAAGCTAAAGGAAATGAAAAGCAGGCAACCTAGAACTGCCTGAAAGTTCCAGCCTTGCTGATTCCAGCCCAACATGAGGTAAGATGCCAAAACCCTACAGCCTCTAATTGCCAACATAAGAGGCCCCAGCACACAAAGCCAGTGACTAAGACCTAGGCTCCCAACACAAGAAGCTTGGGTCAGTGCCCTCTGTTCCCCAGCAGGAGAGCTCAATCTCTTTAAAGGCCAGGGAATAAAGAAACCATGAGTAAAAAGAAATGTACCATAGATTCATATTATGAGAAGAGTGAAGATCAAGACAGAAATTCTGAAGAAGACAACATTGTCAACAAACCCACATCTGCAACATCAAAAGGGAATATGAACTGGTCTGAAGCCCAAAAAGCCTTCTTAGAAGAGCTCAAGAAGGATTTTAAAAGTCTAATGAGAGAGGTAGAAGAGTCCTTAAAAAATACAATTGGCCAATTGGAAAAAAAGTACACTGAAGAAAACAAGTCCCTAAAAAACACAATTGGCAAACTGGAAAAAAAGTACACTGAAGAAAACAAATCCCTTAAAAATACAATTGGCCAACTGGAGAAGGAAATACAAAAACTAACAGAAGAAAAAATGGAAACTAATGACTCTATGAGAGAGCAAGAATCAGTCAAACAGAAACAAAAAATGAAAAAATAGATGAAAACGTAAAATACCTCATTGGTAAAACAACCAACCTGGAAAATCGATCTAGGAGAGACAATTCAAAAATCACTGGACTACCTGAAAATCACGATGAAAAAAAGAGCCTGGACAGTATCTTTCAGGAAAAAATGCAGAAGTCCTAGAACCAGAAGATAAAATAACCATAGAAAGAATACAACGTTCACCATCTGAAACAGATCCCAAATTGACAATGCCAAGAAATATAATAGCAAAATTCCAAAATTACGAGATGAAAGAGAAGGTGCTGCAAGCAGCCAGAAAGAAACAATTTAAATATCATGGAACCACAGTCAGGAATACACAGGACCTTGCAGCTTCTACATTAAAAGACCGCAGGGCATGGAACATGATATTCCTTAAGGCAAAGGAGCTTGGAATGCAGCCAAGGATCAACTATCCTGCAACAATGAGCATGATTTTTCAAGGGAGAAGATGGATATTCAACGAAATAGGGGACTTCCAAACCTTCCTGATAAAAAGACCAGAGCTCAACAAAAAATTTGATCTTCAAGTACAAGATTCAAGAAAGACATAAAAAGGTAAATGGGACAGAAAGACACAAAATGTTTTTGAGAAGGGCGGGCTGTTTACATCCCTACAAGGGAAGATGACACTTGCAACTCTTGAGAATTGTATTGTTACTGCACCAGGTTAAAGGAGTATACATAAAGGGGGTGGATATTAGTTGACTTTGATGTAAGGATAAAAAAAAAATCTAATCAAGTGGATTAAACAGATCCAAGTAAGTGGATTCATTTGATCTTAGAAAATGTACTGAGAAAGGAGGAGGCAGGCAAGGGTAAACTACATTACAGGAAAAGGCATAAAATCCTATTGCAGCAGAGGGAAAGAAGGGAAGGAGGTGAGCATTGTTTGAACCTTACTCTCATCAGTTTGGGCTCAAGAAGGGAATAACATAATCAGTTAGGTAGAGAAATCTAACTTGCCCTATAGGCAGTAGGAGGGAAAAGGGGCAAGGAAAGGGAGGGGGGATAGAAGGGAGGGAAGAAGCAGTAAGGGCAAAAGGGAAGAAAAGGGAAGGGTCTAATACAAGGGAAGCAGGACTGAAGGAGGCTGTAGTCAAAAGCAAAACACTAGTGAGGGGAGGAGAAAGGAGAAAGAAAAGCATAAACAGGGGGAAAAAAGGATGGAGAAAAAGACACAGATGGTAATCATAACTGTGAATCCAAAGAAAGAACTATGGAAGTTGAATTACTCTCTTTTTTCCCCCTCTCTTCTGTTGAGTTTTGTTTCCTCTTTCTGATGGTTCCTCCTATTGGTTTTAATTTTTACTTACAACTTCACTAATGTGAAAATATGTTTAATAGGAATGTAAATGTATAGCCTATATCAGATTGTGCGCCATCTTGGGGAGGGTGGTGGAGAGGAAGGGGGAGAAAAATTTTCAACTCAAAAGCATATGGAAGTGATCGCTGATAAATCAAAATAAATTAATAAAATAAATTAAAAAGAGAACTGGAAACTGAGTGGATGCTCATCAATTGGGGAATGGCTGAACAAGCTGTGGCATATGATTGTAATAGAATACTACTGTTCTATGAGAAATGATGAGTAGGTTGATTTCAGAAAAACCTGGAAAGACTTATACGATCTGATGCAAAATGAAGTGAGCAGAACAAGGAGAACATTGTACACAGTAACAGCAATACTGTATGACAATCAACTGTGAATGACTTAGCTATTCTCAGTAATACAATGATCCAAGACAATTCCAAAGGGCTCATGATGAAAAATGCTATCCACCTCCATTGAAAGAACTGATGGAGTCTGAATGCAGATCAAAACATACTATTTTTCACTTTCTGTATTTTTTTTCCTTTGGGTCTGTGTCTTCTTTCACAAAATGACTAATATGGTAATATGCTTTACATGACTGATTATATGTAATTTATATTGAATTGCTTACTGTCTGGGGGGGGAGGTGAGGAAAGGAAGGGGAAAATTTGGAACTCAAAATTGTAAAAAAAAAGTTAAAAATTATCTTTACATGTAATTGGGGTGAAAATAAAATATTTTTTAAAAAATCTGTCTTTAGTTACCTAAAATTATAGTTGATAAAACCAAAGAAAGGCCTTCAATAAATATATCTCTCTGTACATACATATATGTGCGTATACATACATATATATACATTCATGTATATCCTACAATATCTTTTATTCTTGGCATTTCACTGTTCTGTATAAGGCTGACTGATTTTTTTTTAACTGATAAAATCTAATAAATATGGTGGGGAAATGCATCATGCTTATGCATGAAAGAGATTTAATTAAATATGAAATTTTAGTCAAATCATTAAAAAAAATACTGAAACCATCCTTGAAATTTGATGTGCTAAAATGATAAAGGCTAAAGCCTGTCGAACTGGCTTCCTCATTGCCTGAGTACAAAACAGCCAGGAAGAACTTCTGGTGTTCTCTGATATCTGGCTAGTGGAAAATGACTGACAATTTAGATGTGAGTTTCATGCCTAATTTCATTGAATATCCTGCAGCTATGGAAGCACAGGAACAGACACCTACTATGTGCCAGGCACTATGCTAAGTACTTTTTACAAATATCATCTGCTGAACCTCACAACAAACCTGGGAGGTAGGTGCTATTATCATCTTCATTTTATAGTTGAGGGAACTGAGAAAACCTGAAATCAAGTGACTTGCCCAAGGGTCACACAGCCAGTTAGTTTCTGAGGCCATATTTGAACTCAGATCTTCCAGACCCAGCTTTCTATCTACTCTGCCAATTGCTGAATGATCTGAGTGGTTTTTTCGCTTGTCTCCACATTTAGCTTAGCAAACAGTAGGTGCTTAATAAAGGTTAACTGACTGTCCTATTTTGTTTCAATATTGAACCTGAACTACAGTTCTGCGCTGAGTTGGGCCCTGCCCAGAACACTCTGCTTCACTCATACTGTACTACTAGCTATTTCTCCAAAATAAGAGTCTATCTCCAGGGTCCAGGTTTACAGAAGCTGTTACTCATCCCTCTAACATGCTCCTTTCTCATCTCCGTGTCTCAGAATCTTTAATCCCCTAGCAGCCAAGCCTCTGGTAAAGACATGGGATGACAAACAGTTCCCATACATCAAGCTTTTCTTCCATGTGCTCTGTGATCCCTAATTCTATGAAGGCAGAAGTAGGTCTTTGATGTCAGCATTGCAGAAAATAGGTACTTTACAATCCAACACAGTATTAAGCACCTACTGGGTGCAACACTCTATGCTAAGTGCTACATACAAATATCCATTCCAAAAACCACCCCTTAAGCTTCTACAACTGCAAGGGGCTGTGCCAGTATCTACAGAAAATGGTCCAGGTCCTACCTTCAGAGGGCCTGAAATCTAGAAGGTTTTCGCGTTGTGTTTTGTTTGGGGGGGGGTTTAGGCAATGGGGTTAAGTGACTTGCCCAGGGTCACACAGCTAGTTAAATGTTATGTATCTGAGGCCACATTTGAACTCAGATCTTTCTGAATCCAGGGCCGGTGCTCTATCCACTGCGCCACCTAGCTGCCCTCGTTTTTAGGGATACTACCTATAACAAGTGTTTACATGCATAAATCTGTTGAATGAATGAGGCCGTTCCCGAAGGACCTCTTCTGGCTTCCAGGAGCCCAGGTTCAGAAGGTCAGGCCCCCTCTCAAAGGAGAAAGAGGATGTCCCCTTTTCACCCAACCAGAGCACAAGGGACTAGGAAGGTAGGAGGGGCCCCGGCTGTCAGCCCTGCAGTCCACATTTGGGCCACAAAGGGGCAGCCACCGCTTGCCAGGCCAAGGAGTGGCGCAGCAATGCGAGGCGCAGGCGCACGGCGGGGGGGGGGCGGTGGAGAGGCGGAGAGAGACCACCACCGGCATTAAGCCTCCGCCACAGCCGCTGCCGCCACCATGGCGCATGCTCAGCTTAACAGACGAGCCGGCGGGCCGGTGGTTTTTAGGGTCGGGAGCCACCTTAGGTTCGGGCCCAGCCCGGGTCTGTGGAGTTGCGCCGGCTACCCAAACCTTCCCCCTCTACCCATACGCCCCTCAGTCTGCCTCCCCGAGCCCCCTGCCGCAGCCACCCAGGCACCGTACCTTACTCACACAAGGATCCCCACTCCACCGGGACTCAGGACGGCTGGGAGAGTCGGAACGAATCGATGGGTAGCGAGCCTGAGCATCGAGTCATCGATTGGATTGTTTTAGTTCTAGGGCGAAACCATGGGAAAGGAGGGGAAGGGAAGCTGGATGAGACCATAGTTCGGCGAGGTGGGGGGAAATTCTCGTTTTCTTAGGAGCCTCTGGGGCTGTCCCCTCTGCATCTCATTTGCATATCGAAGGGGCGGGCAGTCATCCAGTCCTTCTGGCCCAGTCTAATTACCTTTTCTCGGTGCTCGACCTTTCTGCCACATCTGACAGTGCTGACCACCCTCTCTCCTGGGTGCCCATGCACCTCCCTGGGAGTTTTCCTCCCACTTGAGGGGGACCCCCAGCTGCGTGCAGTGGAAAACGAGAGCGTGTGACCTTGGACGGGCGGTGGGCTTGTCCACATCCACTACGAATTTATGTTATCGAATCTCAGCTGAGCTCTTCTTGAAGCTTTTGCTCCTTCCTAATGGATTCTCTCTGGCACTCCTGCACAGCATCGGCTCCAGACCTTTTCTCCTCCCACTGCAGCTTTCTCCCCACCGCACCCCCCTCCCCCTTCGCCCCCAGCCGAGGACCTGGCATCATACTTGAATGGGGAAATTAAATTGAGGCAATATGTCACTAGCTCCTTCCCCTCTTCTTACATCTCTCAACCCTTAATATGAGCTCCCCACCTACTCTTTTCTCCCCCTTTATGCCAATCTCAGATGAAAGTTAAACCCTGTACATGTACCCTTGATTCCTATCAGATTGCCCTATTATCTCCTCTTTTAAAAAATTTTTTTTTTATTTTAAAAAATTAATTTATTTTTAGTTTTCAACAATCACTTCCATAAGTTTTTGAGTTTTTAATTTTCTCCCTCCCCCTACCCAAGCGTGCAATCTGATACAGGTTTTACATATACATTCCTATTAAACATGTTTTCACAGTCATGTTGTAAAGAAGAATTAGAACCAATAGGAATATCATCTCTTTCTCTCAAATCTTTATTCTTTATTCAACAAGCACTTATGAAATGCCCACTAAGTATCAGGCAAGGTGAAGATTTTCAACAGTCTCTTAATTGTTAAACATGATGGCTTTTTTCTTCTATTTTTTATCCTTGACCTCTCTACAGCTTCTGATATTATTGACCACATGCTTCTTCAGGATATTCTCTGCTTGCCCTGGATTTGAAATGCTTTTCTGTCCTGGTTCTCCTGCCTAACTACTCCTCCATTTCCTTTGCTGGCTCACCATTTACCTTCTACCCTATAACCCTGAGTGTTTCCCAAAGGTCTGTCCTGGGGGTCTGGGGGTCTCTCTCTCTCTCTCCCCCCCTTCCCCCTCTTCCTCCTCCTCTCTCCCTCTCCATATAGATACACACATATTTATATATAACGCATATATGTATGTACATGTATGTATGTATTTCCAGTCTCTCTCTTTAAAATGTCAGCTCCTTGAGAGTTGGGATTGAGTTATTTTATTTTATTTTATTTTATTTTATTTTATTTTATTTTATTTTATTTTATTTGTGTGCTTGGTGCATAGCACAGTGCCTGGGCCTAGTTAAGTACTAGTAATTGCTAGTTGACTGTTGACTGACTAATATCTTTCCTGAGCTTCAAGCCACAAGACCAACTAACTAAGAGGCCTGCTAAGCCTCTTCACTCTGATGCCTTGGGGTGCTATTCCCTTCCTCCATCTCATATTGAAGATGCCCAAAATTGAACTGTATGTCTTCTCACTCCCCATCCCCAAACCTTTGTTGTGTTCAGTCATGTCCAACTTTTCATTTAGGGTTTTCAAAGTTTTCAAAGTACTGGAGTACTTTGCCATTTCTTTCTTTAGCTCATTTTTACAGATGAGGAAATTGAGGCAAATAGGGTTAAACGTCTTGCCCAGGGTCACACAGCTAATAATTGTCTGAGGCCAGATTTGAACTCAGGAAGGTGAGTCTTCCTGACTCCAGGCTGGTCACTCTATTCACCAAACCACCTAGCTGCCCAAATCTACCCTTACTACAAATGTCATATTCCTATTAAGAGAACCACCATTCAATTGTTGTTCTTCCTCCCAGAAACAGTCAGTAGCTGAGTATTGTTGGTTCTGTCTCCACATACAAGGTTTCTGGCATCCATCCATTCACCTGGCCCCCCTCCCCAGTTCAGACCCTCCTTACTTCTCCCTTGGATTACAATAGCCTCCCAACAGGTCTCCCTGCTTCCAGTCTCTCCTCTCTCTATGCCATCCTCCACGTACAGCCACCAAAAAAACTTCCTTATCCCTGACCAGGTCATTTCCTTGCTCAAAAGTTCCCAAGTGCCTACCTGTTTCCCCTAGGACAAGACACAAATTCCTTTACCTGGAATTTAAGGCTTTCCCCAACCTGGCACCAAAATATCTTTCCAGCATTATTTCACCTCCTTCCCCTATACCTACCAAACTGGCTTTCACATCTGGGCCTGTGCCCAGACTATCTCCATATACCCCGATATAGTCCTTTGAACCCCCAACATTTGGATGTTTTCCTTTACTTCAAGGCTCTGTTCATAGGTTATCAGTCTTTCCTGATCACCTTCCTTGTTACTGTTTTCTCCCTTCTCAAATTATCTTATATTTACCTGTCTACAGAATATAGTATTGTCTCTGCAGACTAAACTTCTTAAGGGCAAGTATTATTTTTCCTTTTGTCTCTGTATCCCTAGCAGTTAACACAGTGTCTAGGTTAATTTGTTGTTGAGTCATTTCAGTCAGTTTTGACTCTCTGTGACCCTTTTTGGGATTTTCTTGGCAAAGATACTGGAGTGGTTTGCCATTTCCTTTTGCAGTTCATGTTACAGATGAGGAAACTGAGGCAAAGAGGGCTAAGTGATTTGGCCAGGGTCACACAACTAGTAAGTGTCTGAGGCCGATTTGCACTCAGATCCTCCTGACTCCAGGACTGGCGTTAGAGCCACCTAGCTACCCCTTAATACAAGCCTGTTAAATTGGCATTTTAAGCCCAGCCCCACCCAATCTCTCCGGACTTATTTCACATTGCTCCCTTTTATGTGTTCTACATTCCAAGCTACTTAGCACTCCCTGAATTTGGCAATATAATCTCTTCCCACCTTTCCTTCCTAGAATTTGTAACTCCTTCCAATGTTCAATTCAAGCACCATCTCCTTTCTTCCTCTCTTTAGTTATTAGTACTCTTTCCCTCTTTATATTATCTTGTATTTGCTGAACTACGTAATTAGTCAAATATTGAATATAAGCTTAAAAACTCTTTGAGAGCAGAAACTGTTTTGTGTGTATGTGTGTGTGTGTTTGTATCCTTGGTACCTCAGACACAGAAGGCACTTTTTCAATCTTCCATTAATGCTGGTGCCTTCCCTCGGTTCATTATCTCCAATTTATCATTTATGTATTTTGTGTGTACGTGGCCATTTGCATGTTGTCTCCCCTGTTAGTCTCCTTGAGAGCAGGGTCTGTCTTTTACCTTAGCATACTGCCTGGCACATAGTAGACACTTAATAAATGTTTGTTGACTTGACAGCAAGAATACTTGTTCAGTTATTGAGGGGACATGGCCAAAAGTGACAGGTAACCAGGTCTGTCGGGGACAGACTGATCCCCAGGTCTTGAAAGGGATAGAGAGAGACACCTGACTTTGAGGGGGAAGAAAAACATTCAAGCTTTTTAAGATACAGACTGACTGTGGATTCTGAGACAACAAGATAGATATTCAGGACCTGCCAATGGCAAAGAGTCAGGCTCTAAAGGGATAGAGGATGAAGGCATCCAAGGCCTTGAGGGAAGAGATATTTCATTCCAAAATGGGGAGAGACCTCTCCTTGTCTCTCCTTGGGAAGGGCAAACAGATGTCCAGATCCTGAGGGGAAATACAGGACATACCCAGGCCCAAACTGGGATAATTGGATATACAGACCCTGAGGGAATAAACAATGAGGTTCTAAAAGAGAGAGGCCCAGACAGACTTGCCTCAGAAGGGAACAATATATCCAGGGTCACCTGATTAGGGAAGGGGAAGGGAATAGGCATTTTTAATAATACTTATTATATACCAGGCACTGTGCTAAACACTTTTTAGGTTATGTTGTCTCATTTGATCTTTACACTAAATAACCTGGTGAGGTAGGTGCTATAATTGTCAATTCCCATTTTACAGCTGAGGAGACTGAAGCAAGCAGAAGTTCAATGACTTGCTGAGGGTCACACAGCTAGTAAGTGTCTGAGGCTGGATTTGAATTCAGGTCTTCCTGATTCCAGGCCCTGTGCTCTATCCACTGAGCCACCTAGCTGAGTGAGTGAGCAGACATCCTGTTCTAAAGGGCAGAGACAGATATTAGGACCTAATCATTAGGCTTTGAAAATGACAAACAGACATGAGGAGCCATTAGAGAAAAGATGGACATCCAGATCTGGAGAGGACAGGTACCACACCCAGAAGCAGTGTGCCCTGTGGTAGGTGAATTAATTAGCTTTGGAGTCAAAGAACTTGTATTCAGTTCCTACTGATCTTATCATCTCTATGACCTTGGGCAAATCACTTAATCTTCCTAGGCCTCTGTTTTTCTCATCTTTCTAATAGGTGTTGGACCAGATAGCCCCTGAAGTACCTTCCAGCTCTAGAGATCCATGATTATTTCATTCTATGATCTATGCATCACCATATTCAACCTCTGAAAGGGAGAAACAAAATACCTATGCTTTGAGGGAACAGAGGGCCCAACTGGGACAGGTAGACACCCAGGCCCTGAAAGAGACAAAAATCTAGGATCAAAGTAGACCAACATCCAGGATTTTGGAGGGATATAGATATCCAGACCATGAAGTGAAGACAGAGACATCCAGATCCTGAAAGAAGCAAATGGACACCAAAATGTAAATATCTAAACCCTGAAGAGATAGACTGACATTTAAAGTCTGAGAAGACAGATGGAAATCCAGGCCCTAATGATAAGGATGGGATCTAGACCCCAGAAAAGAAAAATTCTGGGCTATAATCCCATCAACTGGCCTTTCATTGTGGCTACACCCAATCTCCCCTCCTTCATCTTGCCTCCGTATGGCCCCAGGCCACTTCCCACCCTTGTTAATTCTATTACCTCATAGACTACCTGGCCACTCCTAGATCTCTCCACAGGCTTTCTGTATATAAGGTTCATCTTGTCTCCATTAAGATGCTTAGATTTTTATAATCTAGCCACTGCTCTGATTCCTAAAATCTAGCCAAGGCGCAGATTTTCACAATCTAGCCAATAGCCCATAGATGCTCAGATTCCTTAAGAATAATATGGCAGATCTTCAATAAACCTTGACTGAAAGACGGCTTGGGTCAAATTCTTTCAGACAGGACCCGAGTGTTCTGATTTTGGGATTCCAGGACCCCTAACCTCTAGACCTCATCACTAATAGAGATAGCAGCCTTAGGAGGCAGATAAACATGTAGCTCCTGAGCAGAAAACCAGACATTGAGTCCCTAAG